TTTTTTGTTTAGCCGAATCATTTAGGATAGAGTGGCCTGTCGCCCCGATGTGAATTATTAAGACTTCGGATGGCAAATTCCGGCATGCGGCGTAGAGAACGGGATATGTTTTTTGTCTCTGGATTAATGAGTCTCCTTATATGAGCTGGTCAAAATCTCTATATACATACTGAGGGCCTGTTCATTGTTATCTTCTAAGTTTATCACATTTTTTCCTTCGACAGAGTGGCCAAACCAATGAGCTAAAAATTAAAGTTTGACCTTATAAATGAGAGTAGATAACCTTGCTGGCAGTCAAAATGAGTGACCCGCCCGGATACGTTTAAGTACATTTGTAGCTGTCTGCAAGCCTTGGTGGAGATGGTAGATACAATGGTGTGTCAAAGTTTAATTGGTTGATCAAAGTTGATATCCAGCAACTTTGCAGTATCATACAGTTCAATATTCAAGTTCCCTGATGGCAGAGGGGCAGTCGCTCTCGCTATCTGCCGCTGGCAAAAACGATACTTTTGAACATATCCCCTTAACCTACCAGGAAGAGTGGCCACACTGGTTATGTTCATCAGCACCGGCCCCTCGTGAATTAAACTTACCGTTTCCCACATAGTGGGCCTCTAGCGAGATTGAACATCGTTGGCTGTTACGAAGTATGCACAGGCATCTTGTTGAGAGAAGAACAAGCTACTGAGCGCGTGCGAACTATATCAGAAAGGGGCTAAATCGCTTCATCGCACGCTGCCAAGCCTTCTCTACCAGGTGGCCTACACAAGTCGGCATCGATCGACTACGTCGCTGTCCACGGCCGCCATGTTGGCGTCTGGTGTTTACCTGTCCTGCGTTTGTAATCGCACGTCTGATGGTAAGTATGTAGTGTAAGAGAAGCATGTAATGGAAAGTACTAGCTACTAACTAATAAGGTCTATGTCTTTCCAGCCATGTTAAAAACTGGAGGACGTTTTGCGATACTTTGGCCTCTGATCTATGACGTAGGTTAATGTCAGGATTGATGCAGCAGGGTTAGATTAGGTTAGAGTTAAGGCATTGTGTGAGGAGATCGATGTATTGGAACCTAGAGAGGAGCGTAAACGCTTTCAACAGACTAACAGCTATCGTATCTATGCATAGTTTAGATATTGATAGTTATTGCTAGGCAATTCAAATTTCTTCTGTGATTGCCCTTGATGTGTTTATCAGAAGTGAAACGCCGATTACCATTGTTCAAACTATTCACATAATGATGTGTACCTCAATTATTATATTTGCCAATAATATCGTATAATAACAAGTTATCATGGACCCTATGCGTTCTGAGGCACGTCTGCGACGCCGAGGTCATTATGAGGCATGGTTTTATGAAATGCTGGTGCATTGTTTACATGTAAAGTGAGATAGAGGATTGTGTGGCAACTACAAACGTGGTAGCAGACAGCATTAGTTATTCTTCACTAATGTTGATTGTTTTTATCTTGCATGCAGTCCGTACCATGGATTTTTTTGGGTGGTGCGGCAATGTATGAGCACGGTGAAGTGTGCGAATCAGGGGGCTCCGCTAGCAACCGTAGCCCGGCACCAGAACCTACGGGACGAGGACCCACGTGGAGACAGATGGTAGATGCACGGAGCGTAGCACAATCAGCTAGTAGCGACATAGCGAATCGGTGAGACAGCCCGAATAATTTACGGCGCGGACCAGCGCTCCGCGGCACGACCCCGCAGCACGACAATTCGACTGACAAGAACACACACACGCAGCACACACGCACCATCACACACCACACGACATCACACAAGCACCCACAACACCGTACATACATTTATACAATGCATAATACGATGCACGCACATCCAAATTTCGACAAACCGTTTACGTTGTGCACGTGCTAGGCAGGCAGTGCTAGGGGGTCTGGGGGCATGCCCCCCCCCAGAAAATTTTGAACATTTAAGCCATTTTCCTGCAATCTGAGGCATACTTGGGCATATTCTGCTATGGTCTGATGACACCTACTCAACCCTAGACTCAAACCCTACAAGTTAGGATTCAACCCACCGTTTCGATTACTTTTTCAGAGAGCAACACCAGTTTAGGTACTATAGCTACAACACAGTCCTTGTCATTGTCTTTGTATGTCTCCTTTTTCTTCCTACGTCCTCTACTTTTGTTTCTCTTCTCCTCTTCCTCTCTCTTTTGGCCGGCGTTTTGGGGGGGGCGAGACCGCCCACCGCCGCCCCCCCCTGGCTAGCGCTGCTTGCATGTGTTTTTTGTGCTATTACACAGTATTTACTTAAATAATATTTCGCATTTCATGAACGGAATTCGTTAAATATGGTGATTGATAGCAACCCTCATATACAAATATAATGTATATATAGTATATAACTAGCGGGATACCAGGGTTGCCCGGGCGATCAGTGTGTTTACTCAGTTGGTGACCGCTGTTGAAAGAAAACTACCCAAAAATCGAACTATCTATCGTATCCATTGCATCCATCCACCATCGCCTCCAAATGCCATGCATCGTCCATCCCATGCCCATCCACACCGCATCCCATCCGCATCCCATCCATATCCATTCATCGCATTGCCCCTCATTCGGCATCCCAGGCCAGCCATGCCATGATGGCCATCCATCCCATCGCAGCCGCATCGATCCATGCCCATCCTATCCCATGCCATCCATCCCAATCCCATCTCGATCCCACTTGCATGCCATCCCCTATCCAATCCCCATCCCATCCCAATCCATCCCACTCCCAAACAGTAAAAATAATAAGGAAATAAACGATAAAATAGAAAGTCATTAAAATAAAAAAGTCAAAAATCTATAATAATAAAATGAAGATTATAATAGAAAATCTAAATAATATTTGATATTGTAAGCCTAGCATAGCTTCCATGAATGTTCCTGTCAGTTTTGCGCTATGGCATTATCATTTACCATAGTTTTATTGCTGGATTTTTACTAACGTTTTAAACTGTGGTAAAAAAATTAAATTTGAATTAACGGTGAATATGGGCCAAAGTACATTACTCAAACAGTCCAAAGTACGACAAAGCATTTGCCCGAGTGGGATTCGATAAAACAGAAATCAATGGCTTAGGATCGGCCGATGCTTAATCAATTCGTCTACTGGGACGTTATGAGTTGTTATAGACACCAAATGGATTCACGAGCGTACGTGATGTATATATAATGTTAATCTGTATGCCATCTTATTGATGCATATAATTTTTATAAATTTTTAACTTTTTACTTTTTGACTTTTTGTTTCAAGCCAGCACCCACCGCTCCAGGCGTGCTGATTCTGAAAATATATTTACGTTTCTTCTAGCTGCAAGTTCTTATTATGCGCGAACACACAAATCGGCGAACACTTTATATATTATAGGATTATAAGGCGGTGATAGTATGCCAAAGAATTTAATTTACAGCGTCATGCACGGCTGTGTGCTCTTGTCGTCCAGATCGCGAGGAGGATGCTGGGGAAGAAAAGCTGGGCGGCCGATGCGCATTCAAGAAGCTGTTTGATGCTCTGCGGCCTCTTGTGGAGAAACACCAATGAACCAGATACGCGCTCGCATGAAGCCGGCCAAAAAGGAGTACGCAAGACCATATGGCTGCTGCTCACTAAGC